AACCCTCCACCAACTTCCCAAGTCACTTGGAATAAAATCCACAGTCTTGGCCATGGCCCACAGAGCCCTTGAAATCTACTTTCCCCATCCCCTCACTCATCTCTGCCATGCTGGCCTTGCTTCTCCTGCTTCATACCAAGCATTTTCCAGCCATTGACCTTTGTTATGTCCTCTGCCTGGGACGTGCTTGTCTCAGTTACCTGCATGGTTAACTTCAGAACTTCTCTTAGCCCCACAGGTTTCCATTATTAGAGTCCTGCCCCTGTCACCCTGCCTGACTAGCACTCCTACCCACCGTCCCCACATCCTCATGCCCTGCTTTTTTTCCTTAACACACATTGCTGCTGACAAATTATGTGCTTCTTATGTGTCATTTGTCTTACCCACTTCTGTACTAAAATAGAAACTCCATCAGGGTAAGAATTTTTGTTTCTTTAGCTTATCATTTTATCCCTGACTAGGAGAGTGCTTGACACATCGGAGGCAATCAGTAAGTGCTTGATGAGTGACTAGAAAGAATGGCCACTTGGTCCCCTCTCTGGATGACTTCTTCACTGCCACCTGCCCTCTCTTCCACTATTGCCCTATGTTGCTGCAGGGAAGTCAGGACCTGGGAGGAGTAGATAGTTATGCCTTGGAGCAGTTGCAGGGTGGAATGTATTTAAGGGCTACTTTTCTAAATCTGAAAAAAAAAAGACTTACCAACTACACAAATACTGAAAATACATCCTTTCCCTATCTGCTTCTCCCTTGACCCCTTATATAAAGTGCATTCAAAGCATAAATTATAAATGATTAGGTCAAGGTAAAGAAAGGCCTCAGATATATAAATGAATTGTAAAATACCAGAATTCTTAACTGCCAGGGGAACTGTATTGGGACTTGTAGAAATAAAAATAGATACATGTGTTATTATATAAATACTTGCATAATAAAAACCATGTGTACTAATTTTTAGAATGCTTGGGTATCCTTACTAATCAAGAATTGCTCTTTTTTGATGGGAGAGGAAGTGATAGGGAAGAATACAAAAAAAAAAGTCTAAATTGGGTTTATTCAACAGGTTAACATACAGCATCTCTTCCAGGGCTGGGTCAATTCAGACAAGTGCATCTACTGCTCTTTTTGCCTGAGTTGAGATGTAAGAAGAATACAGACTCAACCAAAATCCTGCAATAATAAAGACAGGCTAGATTCTGCTCATTATTCACTACTCTAGCAGATTTTAGAAAGATTGTCATCAATAAAGATTAAGCGATTAAGTATAAATTACCCCTTTCCATGGGCATTCAAGTTAATCAAAGCCTTAGTATAATATTTTCAAGTTGGCTACCATCTGCCACCACCTCTGATGCTAAGATTCGAAGAAGACATTAAGAGCAGATGCTAGAATTGGAGCATTCTGAAGCCAAGAGGGATCCTCACACCTCATTTTGCAAAGAAGCATGTGAGACTCAGGTTGGAAAGGTCAAATTCAAAAGGTTTTTTTCTCTAAATGTCCATGAGAAGGGACCTTGATGATGTGTCCTGTTTGGGGAGGGACGAGAGCCCTGGATCTGGAAGAGGATGCCCTAGGTTTGGAATGCTCCCTTTATCACTCATTAATGATTTGGCATGGGGGAAGCCCTCTGCTAGACAGATCCCCTATTTCCCAATTTATAGAACGAGGCTAACGAAGATACAAGGCTGCTGCAAGAACTAAGTGAGAATACACTCGTTAAAAAATCAAAATTTAGTCTCTGCCTAACCCACATTAGCATAGGATCCTGGACTATTTGCATGTGTTATCTTTTTTTAGTTGGCCGAGTCAGTGGAATCAGCCTTACTTTACAGATGAGGTAACATAGGCTCAGGGGCTTAAAAAACTGTGAAGGTCATACAGCCAGCAGCTGATGTTGCAGTCAGGACTCAGGTCAATGGAACAACAAAAGCCTTTCCCTCGTTCCCAGACACTAGTGCAGCACATGACAGATGCTCCAGAAATAGGAGGAAATGTATGAACGAACAAACAAATAAATAAATAAGCAAGCTATCAATGTCAGTCTCCCCAGAAAGCTTTGTAAAACTCTTTTTTTTTTTTTTTTTTTGAGACGGAGTTTCGCTCTTGTTGCCCAGGCTGGAGTGCAATGGCGCGATCTCGGCTCACCGCAACCTCCGCCTCCTGGGTTCAGGCAATTCTCCTGCCCCAGCCTCCTGAGTCTCTGGGATTACAGGCATGTGCCACCATGCCCAGCTGATTTTTTGTATTTTTAGTAGAGATGGGGTTTCACCATGTTGACCAGGATGGTCTCGATCTCTTGACCTCGTGATCCACCCGCCTCGGCCTCCCAAAGTGCAGGGATTACAGGCGTGAGCCACCGCGCCCGGCCTGTAAAACTCTTAAAAGCAATGTGGATCAAATAAACCATTCCCAAAGTCCTATGTAAGACATAAAGAAGTAAGTAAAGTTACTGATATTTAAAGGTTGAAACTTATTCAGAAAACGTGTTGAACCCATCTAAACGCTGTCTGCTAAACATTCATTCATTAGCACAATAGTTTAAAAAAAACAAGGTTGGGTTTTTATGAGATGTGTATACAGTAGGGGTTTTTAAATAATTCATATGGACAGTATATTTATCCCTGTTTTATGGGGTTTAAAATTATTACAGAAGAGGTGTATTGTATTATTATTATTATTATTGATAAGGTCTCACTGTTGTTCAGGCTGGTCTTGAACTCCTGGACCTTGGGCTCAAGCGATCCTTCAATTTCAGCCTCCCAAGTAGCTGGGATTACAGGGCTGTGTTGCTGCATCCTGCTTTTGTTTTATATGATCCCATGGTTTCCAAGCTAGCTCCATTGTTTTCACTGAGAGACAGCTAGTGAAGAAAAGGAGAAGAATGTAGGATTTTTTGATATAAAGTATCTCCAAGTGGTAGGATTTTTTTTTTTTTAAAGACAACTGGATATGGTGGTTCATGCCTGTAATCCCAGCACTTTGGGAGGCTGAGGTGGGAAGATCACTTGAGGTCAGGAGTTCAAGACCAGTCTGGGCAACATATCAAGACCCCATCCCTACAAAAAGTAAAAAAATTAGCCAGGCGTGGTACATACACCATTAGTACCAACAACTTGAGAGGCTGAGACGGGAGGATCACCTGAGCCCTGGAGGTCGAGGCTGTAGTAGGCTGTGATTGTGCCACTGCACTCCAGCCTTGGTGACAAAGGGAGACCCTGTCTCAAAAAAAAAAAAAAGAAAAAGAAAACGACAACATCAAAGAAAATCAGAGAGTTACATTATGGGATTAGGTTTCTAAGTCGATGCTTGAGTGAAAATTACCCTTGAAAATCCACAGGCACAGCGAAGGGCCCACGTTCTTAGGAGGTACATGGGAACTAAGACAAACCAAAGAGCAGCAAATTTGAGTCTTCTGCTTTGCATTGCAGTTGGCGTTTATGTTCGTTGAGTAATCTGAGAGACACTGACATGGTTTACTACATCTTTGTTGCTTTCTTTGCCCCACACTAGTATGGCCATAATCCCATGAGGGTGTGGTGTGCGTGACTGCATCCTCCCATCCCTGCAGTCCTGCATCTGAAGGTGGCCTGGCACGCAGAAGCAGTTTCAAACTATATTCCTCAGCCGAGGGTCCCAAGGAAGGTGAACAGCTATGGATTTGTCACCCACTGCCCCCCCTTCCTCCCACGTGTTTATCTCAAGCAAGGGCTCAGTACTCTGGGTTCTTGATAAGATGGGTTTGAAAACCGTGCAGTTGCTTAAAACATTTTTTTTTCTTTTCTTTTCTTTTTTTTTTTTTTTTTTTCTCATCACAAAAAGATTTAGCTTGGAAATAGCTGTGCTTCATGGCTTATCCAGAAGTGAGAGGTTTTCTTTTCTTTTTTTTTTTTTTTTTTTTTTTTGAAAGTTTGAAAACCCGTGAGGTAAACCAAAACCTCTGGGACTTACTGCTACCTCTTCCCCGATGATCGGTGTGGCTTGGGAAATGTCACTTAATCTTTCTGGTTTCCGTCTCTTCGTTTATGAGGTGCAGGATTTGAGCTAGATACTCTCAGTGTAAGATACCTCTGCTAAGAACCAGCAATGGGAGAGAACTTTCTGGAAACACCCCTGGCAGCATTACTGGAGTTTCACCAGTACTGAATTAGAATAACAGCATGTACACCTCTCAACATTCCCTGAGTGCAATTGAGATAATGAGCAAATAGACGGAGGAGCCATTTTCTGTTCAGCATCTTCGTTACTGAATAAAATGAGTAATGATCTTTTGCCAAAAGGCAGTCTCTGCTCCAGGGGATTCTCTTTTCTGGAATGAGATTACTTATTTGCTCAAGATAGTTTTTACCTTGACAAAAAATAAGTAAAATTTTCTTAACAGTTGACTAACATTTCCTCAACAATTGTGTGTTTAGTTTTTTTTTTTTTAATAGAAACATTCTTTTTTTAAAAATTACCTTTCATCTGTCTCTTGTAGGTGATTTGAAAGATGCTGAACTTTATGATACAGAGTTTTCAAGAGTTAAATCTGCTGAGCCCAAGGAAGAGCATTTTTGTGTTGCATGTTAGAATACTTGCTATTTGACATTCTAATTAAAACATCTGCAGCTACTTTCAGAACAGCTGATAGAGATGTTGACCTTGGTAGCCAGCGTCAGATTATATGGTTTATGGATGAGCAGTCCTCACATGTCCCTGTTTTCTTTTTATGTCTTTTGAAATGCGCTTCTGTCCTCATCACTCGCCGCCACGCCACCTGGCCCCCCTCCCACGGAGGCTTCTGGAGGCTTCCATTCAAGGGCCTTGTCCAACCCGAGCAAGTCAGAGCTGACTGTATCAGGAGTGCCCTCTTGAGGACAGACTTGCTGAGGGAAACTAAAGAAGTTTTTTCTTCAGTTCAGCACTGCACACTGTGTTACATCTCAGTGCAGAGGAGAAAGAATGGATTTCATGAGACACAAAAGTTCGTTCATTTTTGTTTTCTGGCCTTTGTTTCCATCAGGTCAGCCACCATCCACCTATCTCTGCGTGTCACGCTGAGTCTGGAAATTTTGTTTTCTGGCAAGGTAATGTGCTAATATATTTGACTTCCATGATATTATGTAATATGTTACTGATTTATTTTATTCAAGAATTGCTATCAGTTCTTACCAAGATCAAAAGTGGTCCCTGGATTTGGGTCTGTTTAGAAGGATCAGCGCCACTTGCTCTTGTTTCTCATCTCTCACTTAGTTTTTCCTTTTTAAAACATCCTCAGTCTTTGTGCCATCTCCGTTTAATTCTGTAACTTTATCTTATTTAAAAATCATTTGAAATGCCTCTTGCCTTAGTCAAGAGACACTAAATATTTACAGTTGTTTATCAGAGTGTAGACAGCAGAGAGATTTTCTGCTTTTGTGAAACTTAAATTTTATTTTTGAAGTTGTATTTTACATTGCTTACTTCTTTTCATTATTGAGGTGATTGTTCCTAAAATTTTGTTCCATTTATATTTTGAGTTGGGGGTAGGTGGGTAAATGTTCTAAAGAATAAATAAGGCTGTAGATATTTCCTAAATGGATTAATTTTGTTAATATCTCCATAGAAGGAAAATATAAGCATCCTAGGTTTTTAGACAGTGAGCACATATTCATTTTAAAAATATTTTTCTCTGCTACCAGTGATATCACATGTTGCCTTTGCACACACACACACACACACACACACACACACACACACACACACACAGAGTCTATAAAACTTTAAAAGTATGGCTGGGCGCAGTGGTGGCTCACACCTGTAATCCCAGCACTTTGGGAAGTCGAGGCGAGCCAGATCATGAGGTCAGGATATCAAGACTATCCTGGCCATGGTGAAACCGCGTCTCTACTAAAATACAAAAAGTTAGCCAGGCACGGTGGCGTGCGCCTGTAATCCCAGCTACTCAGGAGGTTGAGGTAGGGGAATCGCTTGAATCCGGGTGACGGAGGTTGCAGTGACCTGAAATCATGCCCACTGTGCTCTAGCCTGGCAAAAGAGCAAAACTCTGTCTCAAAAAAAAAAAAACTTTAAAAGTACAAAACAGTATACTGTCACCCCCTTTCCCAGCCACCCAGTTTCTCTCTCTGGAGGCAGTCAGTATTTCCAGTTTAAAGTGACAAGTACCATGGTTTTCTTTCTTCACCTTTGCTATTAAAATTTAAAATTAAAACTGCTTTCTCACTAAAACCTTCTGTAAATATTCTCATACGGGTCCTAGCATCCTAATTGCTAAATCTAACTCATGCTGTAAGCACCTCTTCTTTGTTTCTTCAAAGTTGGATTTTTTTAACAAGTGGGGTCTTCTCGAAGAAGGTCTGTGTGCTCCCTATGTTACGTGCTCCCCTTCTCAGCCTTTCCTGAGCATCCTTCTCCTAGGCCATCCTTCCCCAAAAGCCTTTTCCTGAGCAATCCAGCTATTTCCATGGGCCTAGGAATACCACATCTTGCTTTGTAAGCCAGCCTGACATTTCTCTGCCTTTTATGTAGGTCACGTAAACCAGTTTCGTTTGCTGTGATTGTAGGTGTAGTCGGACTTAAACCTGCCCTCTTGATACTTCTTTTCCGTTTGTCACACCTGTCCTTTGTTCTCCTTTTCCTCTTTCTCTCCCTTTTGGATTGAATAATTTCTGTCATTCTCTTTCATCTCCTCTGTTAGCTTTTAGCTATACTTACCTGTTTTGTTTCTTGTTAAAGTTGTTACTTTAGGATTTATGTTATATATTTTTAATATCATCAAATACTATTATGCTAGTTTCACATATAGTGAGATTCACAGACGTATACTTCCATTTTTCCCTCCCAACCTCTCTACTATTTTCGACATGTATCTTATGTATATCATAAACCATGTAGTACATTGTTACTACTTTTGCTTTAGACAGCCAGCTATCTTTTTTTTCTCTTGGTAACAATTTTATGAACATACAACTTACATACCATATCATTCACCCAGGTAAAGTGTACAATTCAATGGTTTTTATTATATTCACAGAAGTGTGAATTTAATAAACTTTGCAGTTATCAGCACAGTTAATTTTAGAACATTTTCATCACTCCAAAAAGAATCCTCTTTAGCAAATATTACCTTCCCCATCTGCCACCTGCCCCATTTCTCTCAACAGTTCCCAGCCTATACATTTGCCTATTTGGGCATTTTATATAAATAGGATTATACAATATGAGGCCTACCATGCTTGCTGGTCCCAGCCCCACCTGTCTCACCTGGACCCCAGCTAGGGCTCCCCATTGTCCCCGCTGCTCCCACCCTTACTTCCCTGTGGTCTGTATATCCTCAGTGCAGCGGCCAGATGGGACCCTCTCACTGTTCTTTTCTTATTCCCTGGCTTCTCTGTTGGTACCACCATTCATGCAAGTTAGAGAAACTGATATTGTTTATAAATTCTCCCTTTTTCAATCTGTATCTAATTTGTCACGTGTTCTGCCTATTTCTACTTCCTTGGTATTTCAGGGCTCACTGACTTCCCCATGTCTGTTGTCATGGCTCCCTTCATCCCTGTTTGTTATCCTCTGGGCAATTACAGTAGCCTCTTGTCACCTTGCTTCTCTTCTCTTCTACTCCTATTCCATTCTCCATATGGCTTCCAATTGCCTTTGCAAGGTCCATGTCTAATCCCATCGGAGGCCTAATTATTTCCACTCAGTGCACACAAGCCAGACTTCTTAGCCAGGCTTGGAGAGCCCACTGTTTTTCGTTCTTAGTCTTTTTTCTTTTTTTTTTTTGAGACAGAGTCTCACTCCATCACCCAGGCTGGAGTGCAGTGGTGTGGTCTCGACGCACTGCAACCTCCACCTCTCCGGTTCAAGTGATTCTTCTGCCTCAGCCTCCCAAGCAGCTGGGACTACAGACGCCCACCACAATGCCCGGCTAATTTTTGTATTTTTAGTAGAGATAGGGCTTTGCCATGTCCGCCAGGCTAGTGTCGAACTCCTGACCTCAGGGAATCCACCCGCCTTGGCCTCCCAAAGTGCTGGGATTACAGGCGTGAGTCACTGCACCTGGTCTTATTCTCAGTCTTTCTACTCTTCTCTCTTAGACAAGACAACCTGAGACCTATAGGACAGAACCACACTATGTTTTCCTATACTTCGGTCCCTTTGGACAAGCTGTTTATTTGGTCTTAAATTGCTTTTTCTCTGCCTAGTGCACTCCTGCGTATTCCTCAAAGCCCCATTTAGATGGCCCTTTCTGACAAGCCTCTTCTGATGCTTTCTCCAAGCAGGTTCATCACTCCCTCTTTTCTGGTTTTATTTTACCTTATAACACACCTAAGTTACAGCCTGGACCTCTCTGTATGCTTACTACTTGTTTTCACTTCTGTCTGCCTTTCATGCTGTTAACGCATTCATGGGAAGGACTTTACCTTATTATTTTAGTTTCCATGGTTCTGCTCCAAGGGTCCATGGGGTTGGTACTTACATTTTATGAAAAGTAATCCTAACCAATAATTGACTTAATTATGAAGAGGTTCTACTATGTAGTGATTGAACATTTATCTAGCCTACAAACTATTTGATCTACCTACCTCTCCTGCTAAAAATGTAATATTTGGTATTTCATTTCAGATGTGAGATGGAAAAACAAATTCTGGGGCAAATCCATGGAAATTGTTCCAATTGGCACAACCCATGTGACACTGCCAGCGTAAGTTCTGTGATTAAGGAGCTTTATAAAATTTAGGGCCAAGATTTTGCTTTGGAGACAGGTTGCCCACCCTCCCCCACCTTTGCCAATTGCACTGAGTGCCTGTTTTTTCTTTAATCTGTCTGGCAGTAGGTTTAAATGTTCCTCCTTTTGGCAAGCTCACTTTTTAAAAATGTTTCTCTTTCAAATGCAAATGCCTCCTGGAGAGCAAAGTTCCCTGAATAGATACTTATTAAAACTCATTTTCTCTTCCTAACAAGATTAAGAATGGTGGTTTTTGGCTATGTGTGGTGGCTCACACCTGTAATCCCAGCACTTTGGGAGGCCAAGGCAGGTGGATTGCTTAAGCCCAGAGTTTAAGACCCGTATGGGCAACTGACAAGACCCTGTCTCTAGAAAAAATACAAAAATTAGGCATAGTTGGTGGCATGTACCGGTAGTCCCAGCTACTTAGGAGGCTGAGGTGGGAAGATCAGTTGAGTCCAGGGAGGTTGAGGTTGCAGTGAGCTGTGATCGTGCCACTGCATTCCAGCCTGGGTGATGGAGTCAGACCTTGTCTCAATTTAAAAAAAAAAAAAGTTTTTCTCTTATTGTGCTGCTTTGCTGTCAAAATCCCTTTTAAGAAAGGTATGGCCTTGATCTGATAGGGTTGATGAATACTTATTTATAAAGCAAGGTGCTTCTGAGCAGGGACTCTGGAACTGAACTGCTGAGATTCACCTGTTCACTCTGGCACATACTAACAGTGAATCCCTGGGCAGGTTACTTCACCTTTCTGATCATCAGTTTCCCTGCCTGGAAAATGAAAATAATAAACCACCTACTTCCTATAGCTGTTATGAAGATTAAACAGATAATATACATAAAACACCTAAAATAGTACTTAGCACATTGCATATGTTTTGTAAGAATTTGGTCTTACTAGTAATACCATTTTCCTCATAATTATTTTTGAACTCCATAACCAATATCTGAGTACTTTCTCATCATTAAGGATGCAGGCAATATATATTTAGCAAATTGTATAAAACCTTCACCCTTCCTCAAGCTTCCCTTTCCTACTTCGGCAACATTAGATAAGCCCCTCTCGCTCTGAATTGCCTCCTCTGTCAAAGGAGGGAGTGGGCTCTTGCAGGAGACCACCAGCTTCTAGTGAAGATTCTGGTAGCCTCTAGAGTGCAGAGTCTGGATGCTGTCATCCTCTGTGGCGTGCACGCCTCCTTGGAGAGTGGAAGCTCCTGGAAAACCTGGCATGGTGTAGACACTCAGCCAGTGTTGCTTCTGTGAATAAAGGGATGGGTAATGCATTACATGACTTTTTTTATAGAATAGCAGTGTTTGTTTGTATTTGCTGCTGGCTCTTCTGGAAATTGGTACTTCTGCTTTTTCCTTCTTTTTAGTTTTGGGGATCATTTTGAGTGGAACAAAGTGACCTCTTGCATCCATAACATCTTAAGTGGGCAGAGGTGGATTGAGCACTATGGAGAGATTGTCATCAAGAACGTGAATGATGATTCCTGCTACTGCAAAGTGAATTTTATAAAGGTAACTCCAGTGGCTCTCTGAGCTCTGACCCTGGAAGGGCTGTGGCAGAGCCAGGGCCCCAGAGCACAGGGCATTTGAGAGCTTTTTCACCTTCACCTTTGTGCCAGCAGGCAAACAATGCTGCAGCTCCCTGGTCCCAGCTGCACCTCTGTCACCTAGACCAGGGCAGTGGCCCCTCTTGGCCTCTTACTTCTGTAGGGTCTGTCCTCAGTACAGCAGCCAGAGAGACCCTTTTAAAACATAAATCACTATGTTGCAGTATGGATGCACTTTGACAGCATTATGTTGAGTGAAATAAGTCAGCCCCAAAAGGACAAATATGACATGATTCCACTTCTGCGAGATCCACAGAGAAAGAAAGCAGAATGGGGCTGCAGGAAGGAGGAAGGGGGAATTCATGTTGAATGGGTACAGAACTTCAGTTTGGGAAGATGAAAACGTTCTAGAAGTAGATAGTGGTGATGGTTGCACAGCATTGTGAATGCATTTAATGCCACTGAATTGTACCCATAGAAATGGTTAAAATGGTCAATGTTACATTACGTATGGTTTACCACAACTTTTTAAGAAAAAGTCATGCTGTACCACTTTGAGCAAAATCCCCCAAAGTTTCCGTCTTTCTCGGAGTGCAGCCTGCATCCTTATGGTTTCCCACCAGGCCCTGCACAGGCTGCGCTCCCCATCCCCATCCTTTCACGCACATACTTGCACACTTGGAGATACACACACATGTACACACTGGCCACCTCATTCCACTCCAACCTGAGCTTCTGTTATTTTTTCCTCCTCTCTTTTTCCCACTGTCCTCTGGCCACAGTGGCCTTCTTTCTCTTTCTTCATTTCCTTCTGGTTGGGCCACTGTCCCCAGATCCTTCCATCACCAGCCCCATGCTGTCCTTCACTCCCTGTCCTGTCTGTCCCATTTTCTCCAGAGTGCTTATCACCATTGGAAGTCAGCCTGCTCATCGTTGCTGTGCTTATTTTCTGCTCTGCATACCCTTCTCATCATCCCTGACTCCAGAAGAGCAAAACCTCGTCTATCCTGCTCTCTTTTGTAGCCCTGATGCCTGAAATGGTGTCTGACACACATCAGAGGCTCATAAACATTCAGAGAATAAATGGAAAGATTGGCCAGAAGCAAAAACTATGGAATAGTCTCTTTATCATTTTAACCATTTTAACAGCCTTGCGGGGCAGCCCTCCCTGCTTTCTCTCCCTCCTAGATTCCTTCTTGCTCTTAAAAATTGTATGTCATTAAAACAGCTTTAAAGCATTACCCACCTCAAGGAATATTTGCATTTAACAGACACTGAAATAATAAGCAGAGAGGTGAGGTTTTATTGTGGAACTTCATGCAATTCCTCTCCGCACCACCAGTAACCTATAGGGAATGATTAGGAAGAGGTGGATTGGAATCTTTATTACATCCTCAAACTGGGTTATAGACGGACATAAAGCCCATAATGACCTTAATGTGGGACAAAATAAAAATGACTCTGCCTTGAAAACTTTGTCTAAGCTTTCTGCCAACAGAAACAAAAGGCAACCTGAAGCAGGGATATATGACCTGTGACCCAGGTGAAAGCCACGTAGCTCTCAACATTTCCCCCAGGAAGTGTGCTCCACTCTGGTATCTACCACATACCTGCTTCTCATCCACTTACAAGCAAGAGAATTGGTTTTGTAGTCATGAGAGAGGAACACTGGGCATGTCTAGTATTGGAAGAGAAGCTGCAAGTGGATGCCACACTCACCTGTAGAAGTTGACAATGTCCCTTGGTGGCTTCCAGCAAATTCTCAGCACTGGATTTGTTGGCAGATATCTCTAAGGGAAAATCTGATACCTGCTTCAGAATAAATTTAAGAAGCCAGGCGCCATGGCTGACACTGTAATCCCAGCATTTTGAGAGGCTGAGGCAGTAGGCTCACTTGAGGCCTGGAATTTGGGACCAGCCTGGGCAACATGGCAAGACCTCATCTCTACAGAACATTTAAAAATTAGCCAGACATGGTGGCATGCACCTGTAAGTCCCAGTTGCTGGAGAGGCTGAGGCCAAAGGAGCACCTAAGCCCAGAAACTTGAGACTATAGTGAGCTGTGATTGCCCCACTGCACTCCACCCTGCACCCTGGGGAACAGAGTAAGACCCTGTATCAAAAAAAATAAATAAACTTAAGAGTCTCAATAGTCTTTTTTTTTTTTTTTTTTTGGTGTGTGTGGGGGTGCTTTTCCCTCATTCTTACATGGCTGGAAAACTCAACTTTAAATTTCTAATTCAGCTGAGACACTTCACTTTCCTACCCTTAACATTTTTACCACAGCCCTGAAATGGAGAAGCTGAACTACCAGAATCTGACCTTAAAATGCCATTCAACTTTATTGGTTTCCAAATGTGGATTCTGTTTCAGCTGAAAATAGTACTAGGGTTTTTTTGATTTATGGAGAAATGCCTTCCCTTCGCTGTTCTTTCATAGAGATTTTTAGGGCAGCCAGGTAATTTGAAAAAAAAAAAAAAAAAAAAAAAAATCAACTCTGGGGAGCTAGAGCACCCTCTGCTGGCTGCATTATGGTACTATATAAAATCCTCTGCACTGGGCTGGCTTGAGCTGAGCTGAACTGAGCAGAATGGAGTACAAGATTGCCTTGCAGACTAGGACCAATACATAGCGAGAATATCCACACTACTCACCTGATGTATGGAGACTGAACCTTTTCTTTTTCTTTTCCTTTTTTTTGAGATGGAGTCTTACTCTCGCCCAGTCTGAAGTGCAGTGGTGTGATCTCGGCTAACTGAAACCTCCGTCTCCCGGGTTCAAGTGATTCTTGTGTCTCAGCCTCCCAAGTAGCTGGGATTACAGGTGCCCACTACCACAGCTGGCTTATTTTTATATTTTTAGTAGAGATGGGGTTTCATCATGTTGGACAGGCTGGTCTTAAACTCCTGACCTCAGATGATCCACCCACCTTGATCTTCAAAAGTGCTGGGATTACAGGAGTAAGGCCTGCACCTGGCCAAGAACTGAGCCTTCCCTTGCATTGTATGTAGCAAAGGTAGAAATAAAAATGTATCTTACACAAATATTAGTTGAGTTACAAACTGTAGATAGTTAACCGTTTATTAAATAACCAAAGGTATGACTTTTTTTAAAGCCAAAATCCAGGCATAAAAACAGATATATAGAACAATGGAACAGAATAGAGAGCTCAGAACTAAATCCATGCATTTATAATTAATTGTTTTTTGACAACGGTGCCAAGAACACACAATGGGGAAAGGACAGTCTCTTCAGTAAATGGTGTTGGAGAACCTGGATATTCACATTCTGAAGAATGAAATTAGAACTTTATACCATATACAAAAATCAACCCCAAAAGGGCTAAAGACTTACAATAAGACCTGAAATTGTAGAACTACTAAAACAAAAACATAAGGGGAAAAGCTTCATAATGTTGGTCAGGGCAATTATTATTTTTGGATATGACTGCAAAAGCACAGATAACAAAAGCAAACATAGACAAATGGGATTATATCAAACTAAACAGCAAATTAAACAATGAATGCAGTAAAGAAACAACCTACAGAATGGGAGAAAATATTTGTAAACTATACATTCAATAAGAGGTTAATACAAAAAAATGTATAGGGAACTTAATAGCAAGAAAACAATCTAATTTAAAAATGGACAAAAGACCTGAAGAGATGTTCCTCAGAAGAAGACATACAAGTGGACAACAGATATATGAGGAAAAAATGATGAACATCAATAATCATCAGGGAAATGCAAATTAAAACCACAACGAGATACCACCTTATATCTATTAGAATGGCTATTATCAAAAAGCTGAAAACATGTTCAGGAGGATATGGAGAAGAGGAATCACATACCATTCATGGAAATGTAAATTAGCACAGCCAATATAGAAAACAGAATGGAGGTTCACTAAAAAATTAGAAATGGAATTACCCTATGAGCTAGCAATCCCACTACTGGGTGTATGTCCAAAGGAAATGATATCAGTATGTTGAAGAGATACCTGCATCTCCATGTTCATTGCAGCACTATTCGTAATGGCCAATATAGGGAAACAACCTCTGTATCCAACAATGGATGAATGGGCAAAGAAAATGTGGTGCATGTAACACAGTGGAAAACTGTCTGGCCTTTAAAAAGAAGGAAATCCTGTCATTTGCAACAACATAGGTGAACCTGGAGGATGTTAAGTGAAATAAGCCAGACACAGAAAGACAGATGCCACCTAGTCTTCTATTTGGAATCTAAGAGTTGATCTCACAGAAGTAGAGGGTAGAACGATGGTTAACATGGGTTTGCCGAGGGTCAAGGGGAGGATTGGGAAATATTGGCCAAAGGATCCAAAATTTCAGTTCGACGGGAAGAATTAGTTCAAGAAATCGATTGTACAACATGCTGACTATGGTTAATAACAACGTGTTGTATACTTGCAAATTGCTGAGAGGTTTTCTTTT